GAGTGATCCAGCCACTTCTGGCAGTCAGAGGCTAAGGTCAGGTTTATAAGAGACCCAGAAGGTCGGCTTAAGATACGCCACTTTAGCTCCGTAAATAACGTACCAGGGGGCGATGTCCCTAAGCCAAGTTTGGCGACATCTCCATGGTGGGATGTGGACAGGAGCAGATGCCCCCACTGGCTTTCCTTACTGCTTGCAAATGGAGGAGTACCGGCACCAACCAGAGCCGCCCTCGGCATTTGATTTAGTGGGTCCTTACTAGACCTGCTAAATCAAACACCAGAAGATCAATCTCTGTCATGATATTGGGAGTACTACTTTTTAGTTGTTGTTTTAAACCTACTACGTATTAATTCCATGAGGTGAGCCATGGTTCTTGTGTTAGGGGAAGGGCTTTGTTCACACCACCTGTGATTTTATAGGCCTCGATCAACCTTCACCATCTCTTTTCCAAAGTGAGGTGGCCCTGTCTTTTAAACCTCAGACGGAAGCTGCTCCATAACCGTATTTACTTCCCTTCTCTGTACTTCTTCCTTTTTTAATGTACCCTTTCTGAAATGGGGTGACTGGACCTGCAAATATTCAAAGTATGGGCGTACCATGAATTCACACAGTGGCACTATGAAATTTTCCATCTATCCCGTTCCTGATGGTCCCTATCAGCTTTTTTTTGGCTGCTTTGTATCAACTCCATTTTTTGTTTTGACAAAAATTAAAAGCCCCTCCATTTTGATTGTTTTATAATTCGCAACCAATTCAAAAGGAATTTGCTACTAAAAGGAAAACACAGAAACGTTTCATGCAGAAAGTGTCAACATGGAACGTTTCGCTCTTGTCGCCGTTTCGGCTTTTCTCCTCCAAAATAAATTGCCGGCAAAACTGACAATTCCGCACAGTGTTTTGATTTTGACTGCCCAGTTTTCTCCCAGGGCAAATCTGGACTGTTGTCCCGAACAGCTCTGGTTTCCTTGTGTACCTACGACTCTATACACTCCCATGGGTGGTAAAGTGATGGGACAGGAATATAGCAGTTAAAATAGATCAACCCTGTAGTACTCCGTTACGTACCAGTTTCACCTCGCGCCCTACTGAAGTAAAAGAGGTGGCGGAGGGATGGGAAAGAAAAACATTCTAATCCTCTCATTTCTGCAAATTTATTATACACAGTATCAAACATGAAATAGTTTAAAAATAAATGCAAAATCCAACAGCTGTGACATTCAACTAGAACAGACTATTTACAGTCGCTCCATCACGGCAGCCCCTCGATCGCCATGCAACTCCTCAGGACAACGCACCGCCTCCTGCCCCACAGACACAGTGTTAGCGAGAAGAGGAAGGGGGAAGAGGCCGAGTTGAGAACTCGGCGCGTTATTTCTCCTCCACAAGCAGAAAGGCAGGTTGTAAGTAAGACAGGTTCCAAGGGGATACACTGTGTATTGCCAAAAATCCTCCTGGGATTTTGTATTCCAGACAGACTGTAACGGACGAAAAGCAATTTGGATTGGCGGAGAAGAAGGCCCAATCCCATACATTCAGCTGTTACATGCAACTGACCAAGGAGACCACAGAGATTAGTCTTAATAAAAACAACCCAGTAAAGCCTTTTTAACTATACACATTGCACTAAGTAGTAAGAAACATGGATTTGAAAAGTCCAGCCCAGCTGTAGTGTGCATGGTGACGCAGTGCCAATAAGCACCACGGAGCATTCCTTCGGATTGCATGGCAGTATTTTGTGTCTCTTCACTTAGAAGACGAAGTATCAAGATCCCTTTGTCAGGACCCTTCTGCAATCCAAGCCAGACAGCCGTGGTCACAGAACAAAGCAGGTGACCAGCAAGTGAAGTAGTTTGCTCTGCCCTCCTCCTCCAAGTATGCATGTGTATTTAAATAACTAAATGGCCAATCTGTGTTAGTATCTCAGGGAGGAGGATTTCAATCCTTATAAATACGTTTCTTCACAAAGCAGGGAAGAGCATAGGATTAATTGCATTGTCAGATCTCCCCCCTCTCCCCCCCACCTTTCCCAAAGGGAAGAAAAAAAAAATTTAGGTTTGTGTTATAAAACAACCAACCTCACGATCACAGGATGGGGAGGGGGTAGTGGACAGCATATGAGATTTATTACCGATGTAGCTTCACGATAAGGGAAGCAACAAGCTGGCTAGTGAAAGGTCATCCCTATACACCCAGCAAAAGGATTCTGGTTTGTGCTCAAAGTTATGGTCACAGACGTGAGAGCCAAAGCAGCGACCTCCCACCGTGCAGTGCTCATTGTTAAGAAAGCTTCGTCCTCCCAACATACAGGCTAGTCTAGCCTGGATGTCCAGCTCTTGCCCCAGAACGTGGAGTTGAGGTGTGTGCTTGTCTGGCAGAGGAAACAAAAAGTAGTGCCCCACACCACTTCACTTGTACACGGATGACCCATTCAGCATTAGAACCCAGGACCACAGAGGGGCGGGTTGACTAGTAACTGCCAGATTTATGCTGATCAATGCTGAACTCGGTCCACCAGAACTCCTCCAAAACACAGCAAGACCCTCAGTGGTAGTTTGCTCTTCTACAGAGCCCAAGAACCATGACTGGAATTGGACCAGTTTGAATTAAAAGACCAGTGGGTACACAGGATTTATCTTTCCGCTCACAGGCATGAGGAGGGGCAGAAACGCTTTGCCTTAAAAAACAATCTTAGTGCAAAAAGAATTTGAAGGTTGGCATTTGTCCATTCCCAAAGCTGTGCTCCATGTACAGCTCAAGCTCGGCCCTCTTCACCCCCAAAGGAAATAGTCACCCCAAACTTGTAACAAGACTATACAGGGTATGCAAGTTGCACTCTAATCTTGTTTGCATGATGCTCAACTCCACGGACATCTACGACCACCATCCGGCTCAGCAGCGCTGCAGGAGCTGCTGGCCTTTCGAATGAGAGATGTAGGCTGGTGGATGTAAAATGTGAGTCATCTTGGGAGCCAACAGTCGTTCTGAGGAGCACGTCCACTCTACCGAAGCTTGCAACAGGCAATAAGGAAGTCAAGTAGCCTACCTGCAAATGTGGCTTTGCTCCCACATTCCTCAGTAGGTTAGTGGTACTAAACAGTGCTCCGAGCCATATCGATCTCTAGATGAGAGTCCATGACTAAATTCTCCATTACACTGAGGACAAGCAAGTCTATGAACTGGCTGAGTGGAGATCGCTGAACGTGCATTCCATATGGTATATGAGATAATCTGTGCGCAAGCAAACAAAGGATGCAGTTTCCTTTCCTGGACATGCTGACCAATCTAATCCTCATTCCACCCTGTCCCAAACACACCTGGCCCCCTAACAAAAAAATCACACCCGCTTATTACACATCGGACGTTCTAACACGCAAAAGTTACAGAAGACAACCATCAAGAATCCTTCCAGTCAAAGCCATAGTTAGCACGACTTCCCTGCTGACGGTCAGTAAGACCCGGGAAAGAAAAGGCCATTATAAAAAGCACAGTTGCAAAACTAAGGAACAAGCATCGCCTTTAAACCAGAAGAAGAGTGTCACAGTGATAGATGAACATTCTAACGCTAGACGGACGTGGCAGTTTTGCTTATGACTGAGGCCTGTTTGGGTGACCTGTCCATGATCACATGATTAGTCTTTATGGGTCAGATCAATCTGCCAAAGGCATATTTGGAAATGAGCTTCTCTGAAGCGATCGCATCTACTGCAGAAGCACATCTAGGATGTTTTTCAGCAAGCCCCAAAATTCTGCCCTCAACACAGGGAACAGTCCAAGCGTTCAACTGAATTACTGCACAAGGCACACGCATCATGATGCCTGGAGAACGAGACACCGGCCAACAAGAACCCAAGAGCTTCTAAACCCTGTCACCCCCAAGACAAGCAAAACAAAAAAGCAGTACCTCCATTGAGTAGGCTTAAAACCTGCCCCCCACAAGTGACAGACTGCACACAAGAGAATTCTCTGAACCCTGCAGGTAGCTCAGGACATAGGCCCCTCATCCTCTCTGGAGCTCCTGCCCATTATAAACTGCGTGTAATTCTTCGAATGGTACTTTGCAGCTCAGCTTCTGTTCTGAACGTGCTTTTGCCTTGAATGGTTTGGTACTTAAGGCCCAATCTACAGTACAGCTACAAGTGCCAGGGACCAGCCGCTGTCACTGAACCGGCTTAGAGCTATTCCGTTTCAGCAGTACTAGTAGATCTTCATTCTGCCCTCGAAAAGTACATTTACCCTGCAACTAGACACCCAGACTAGCCCACGCCAGCTGACTTGGGCTGGTGCCGCTAAGGGGCTGCTTAACTCTGGCCTAGCTATTCGGGTTACAGCCTGAAGCCTATGAACCTGCCATCTTGCAGGGTCCTAGAACCTGGAGTCCAGTGCAGGCCTGAACGTTTACACCACAACTCTGCAGGGTCTTAGATTGGCAGCTGGCTCAGGCTAACTGCAGCACAGACACCCCCAATGTATGCTAAAGCCTCAAGCCCTGCCTAAGCTAGGCAAACAAGTCACATTTTTTTTTAAAGAAGCGTTACCTTACACCGTCTACACTAGTGTTGTAACTTCCCTAAAACGCGTTCTCTAGGGCTGATCACAGCCAGCAAACTGGTTTTTAGAGGCATAACTCCAACTACACTACTCATTGAGATTAAACATGCTACAGTCTATTTTCCTACTCCAGTCCAAGCCTTAAACTGGGGGGTGGGGGGAGAGGAGGGTTTGGTTTATTCTTCCCCATAAACACAGCCCGTCCAGCAGGATTTTCACATTTTCATACTAAGCACCAATGGCAGTGGCCCTAACCACACCCAC